TTTATTTTAGTTGAAAAGACAACCTTCACTAGGATAATGTATCTCACGAACAAAACATATCGCAGGCAATTAGTTGTGTGAATTGAATTATAAGAATATCTTGATGTTATTGTTTTTTATCCTATATGTGTAGCTAAATTTATCATTTGGTTTGAATTTAAAACTAAATTAGAGATATAATATTGACTATGTAAAAAATGCGAACAATCAAAGCTCATTAGGTCTACAAAATAAGATCAACGAAGATTAATCACACAAAAAGGTCTTTGAGGTCACTTGATATAGTGTAAACGCCATAAATTTTAACATTAATTTAATGAATATTGTTTCTCACACATAAGAGATATAATATAGAAGCAACTGCCTGCATCTGTATTATTGCAGATTAACATAAAAATTTAAACAGAAACATTGCCTATCATTTTGCTACTCATTTAAATAGCTGAGAGCAACTATCTTTTTGAAAATTGTATGTGTTTTTTTATCATTATTATGGTGTAATTTAGTTGATGAAATCTGAAATTAAAGATACATTTTTTAATGCATTTTCCCTCATCTATTGAAGTTTTTAAATTATAATAATTCATAACTCTATTTATATTTATTAACTTCATAAGCCGTATTTTACATTATTCAAAGCTTAAACAAATGGATATTGATATAATTTTCAGTACAAATTCAGAGATTTCCAAAGCTATATTTACACGAACAATTTTATGTTATTTAATGAAATATAACTTTACTTAATACGCATTTTTCTTCACCTTCAGATGGTCTATTGGGATGACCGCAACTAAGCAGATGTCAATTTGACATAATATACATTATTTACGTTTTTCGCTGCTAATTCTCTGCCAACTAGATATTTTAAGTGTCGTTGGAAATTATCTTCAGCTTGTTACCTTTGTTTATTGTGTGGTTCCTTTATAAATTTAATATAAATTTAAAAACTTGCTTTAAAATGTGGCAGTAAAATATGATTATTTGGTACGCTGTGTTATCATGGGTATTATTTTATTTTCGTCTATCCTATACCGTAAGCAAAATTTCCTGCGCGTGTATAAAAACGGTATGTTTTAAATGTTAGAAATTGAACTTGAGACACTTTCTCTATTTAGAGTATAGACTCGATTAACGGGTGTAGAATTTTTTATAATTTTACTGACCTACTTAATTTTTTTACTGTTTAAATTTGTCAGCAGGATTTCAGAAAAAAAAACTTGTTTATTAATATTTTTCCTCTTTGCTAACCAAGTTACTTTTTTAAGCATGCAGATCATTGGATAGGACGAGGTAGTGTTGAGGCTTAGTTACGATAGTTATATTGATTAAGTTGAAGATTTATAATGCATTTACAATACCACAAACTAGAGTCGAAATTCTAGTCTCACTACCATAATTTTTGAAAATTAATGTTGTTCAATAAATTACTACTTGGTAGCACCAGGCAAATGATTTATGATTAATTATCATATATTTATCTACGACTGTGTTTCATAAACTTTCAGATTACCGCCCTGTATATACTATACTATGCCGGCTCAAAATTGTAACAAAAATTCATAATGAAGAATCAGTTCTAGAAATCTTGTTAATTTGTGACTACTATTTTGTAAAATGTGTTTTTTGCGATGCGCAAATCCACGTCTTATTTGGTCTTCCCTGTTTTTGGTTTCCATAGGTTTCCAGTTCAGCGCAATTCCTGTGATAACATCCAGACTCATTCTTGCATCAGGGTCAATCCAGCACCATCTTTTTCTATTACCCAATCCATTTCCATTTTCCCCGAGTGAATACTCATTGGATATGATGTTGTACCACTGGTCTACATTTGGTCTTGGGAAAATTGTTCTACGATCGCCATGTTTTTGAATGGTTGTTTTGGCTTTAGAGATTCGTATTTTCAATTAAATGACGCAGTCTCTTTAATAATCGACCATGCTGACTAAATATATGAAATCTTTTTTCTTAGTGTACTCCATCCCCAATCAAAAACGTAGGTACTCTGAGCTAGTTGTTAGCGTCAATCTGTTGCCTCTTATTTGGTCTGTAGCTTACAGCATCAGCCAGTCAATTACTAGGTTAAAAAGCAGTGGAGACAGAACACGCCCCATTCTTCTACTTCTGTCTGGACCATAATATATAGACCATTTATATGTTTCCGATAAACTCTGCATTGAAAACCTTTTATTTTAATGTCTGATTATTTCTCCTGAAAACCATGATGCAGTAAGATATTTGCATCTGACTATACTATCAAAAGCATTTTCAAAATCAATGAAAAAAGCAAAAATAAAGGGAACACTTTCATTTATACTTTTTTTCTAGTATTTGTCCCAAGGTAAATATGTTGTCTATTCGTCTTTCCAAAGCCCAGCTTGTTCTTTCAGCATTTTTTCCTCTGCAAAACTGGATATTCTGCTGATAATGATACAGCAAAATATTTTACTTGTGAGTGGTTAAGTTTGATGCCTCGACAAGTTTTATACAGCTTTTTATTTCCTGTTTCTGGCATTTTGACTATTAGACTATTTTTACATTCATTACAGTTTTTTTCGTTGTTCCAGACTTCTTGCAAAAATTGTAATAATGAATGTTTTGTGCGTTTCTTAATTTAATTTTTTGTATACCTGCAGCAAGCAGTTTTATGAATGCATAATTTTTATAATTGATTGGGCAAAATAACGTCTTTACGTGCATATTTATTTTTAGCAATGTTTGTTCTGCAATAGATGTTTCATTATTCTACACGTAATCATAAAGTTCTCTAGTTTTATGTTAATAATTGCAACTGCTGTTCTTTTTTTTCTAACATCATACACCCTGAAATTTGTCCATACTCTCATATATTTGTGGTTGTCAATGTTTGGGGGAAAATTATACCTGTTATAAACACTGTTATAACGTGTTTGCTACATATATTAGTTACTTGCTCATGTGGAATTTTAGTTAGTTTATCAATAGCCGTAATATCAACGTTAATCACTAACCGTTTATGTGTTAGGGACGTAGAGGGGCGCTATCGGTAGCCCCCGATTACACATCTAGCCGGGGCGCAGCGTACGGCCCCTGGCTAGATTTAATCATCGAATGTCGCAGGCGCCATAGTGCTAACAGGATAGCACAGTGCGCCAAATCGCACCTTGGCAGTGAGAGACTCTAAAACCCCATCTTATAGTCTACCGCACTGTTTAAAACAAACGTAGGCGCCAAATCGCAACCCTCAGGGGCACCGGGGGAAGCTCCTGATTCGACATAGTCAATGATTATTGTTGCCCAGCGTGTCCGTAATGTATAGCCTTTTTTTAAAACAAACATAGGTGCCATAGAGCTCACAGGGGAGTCCGGGGTGCTTCATGCCAAACAATAGCTGGGGCGCCTGCGGCTGTGCCTGTTGACGTTTTAACGCTGAATATAGTAGTACCCTTTACCCGCTATGCAGGACGCCCAATTAACGGATACCAAGTGCTACGATAGCCGCTCTGAAATTTTGGGCGCCAAAACCATGTATTGAAGAATATCGCACCCTCCCCGGCACCGCCCATAAGAGATTTATTTTCGTAGAAACCTTCTCGGGAGTATTCTCTTCAACCTCCAAAGATTTCATGGCACTCGCGTGAACGGTGTAAAACTGCATCCGAGTTTTATTTTTATATACCATATAGTGAGAAAAATCTCACCCTTCAGGGGCGCCGCCCTTGCGAAATTAAAAAAATTGTTTTTTTTTTTTTTTTTTTTTTTTTTTTTTTTTTTTTTTGCAGAAACCTCTCCTGGATTATTCTAATTAACTCTCCAAAGTTTCATGGCGATCTGATGAACGGTGACAAACCGCAATCTATTTGTATTTTTATACTAGATAAACGGGCACTAGGTTGATGTGTTTTATTTTTCTCTAAACCGAAACCAAAACCAAAATTACCGCCTCACTACAAATTTAACCAGAAACGAAAAATGTAACTGAAAACGGTTTTTATTCAGAATCAGCATTTTAACTGGATTTAACCGTGATCTACACGTAGCTACTGCACATTCATACTAAAAATAGTCGTAGTCTTACCCCGTAGCATTATACTTAAGCTCAAACTTGACAAAAGTCGCATTCGGAGTTTCTTTCAGGCAACTCTTCGGGGGAGGGGAGGACGGAGCCCCCAATGAACGTCTACCGCTCCCTATTACGAAATATAATTTATATAGAAAATAGATACTTTTACCAGTGTCCGCTCCCTCCCCCAGGGAGTTCCGAAATTACAGAGTGACAGAATAGCGAAACTAGTATTATAGATACCGTATATGGAGAAGAATAGAATCACGTCCTGTCCGGCCGCCACCCCTGCGAATTTAAATATTTTGTTTCGCAGATACACCCTTTTGAGTATTCTCAACAGCTTCCCAGTTTCATGGCGATTGCTTGAAAGGTGTAGCAATGCATAAAACAGAAGCAGATAGCCTTATTACTGAGACTGAGACTTCCGTACAGCGCGCCCTTGGGTCTGCTGGGTGGTAGTGTAGGCGCAAATGCGCGCGGGAACGGACATGCTAGTATATAAATATACGTTTATTGAACATATATTTCAAATTCGGCGACTTGTTTTGCTCTTTTCGTATGGGATCTAAATAAAACTATACTTGTGATCCATCGTTTTGGTTATTATTTTACATTGCAAGTTAAAAAGTGACCATTGACTTTGTTGGCATCTGACACAGGCCTGAATGGAAAAAGAAGCTACAATAAAAATATAAGTCAGAGCTGGGGCAACTTTTCTCAATTTAGCTCTTTTTCCCCGGGCCGCTTTGATATAGAACGTCCACCCTACACATGCGCATGATTGTTCAAGTTTTTTTAATATTATTATTACTGGAACCTAGGATTACACAATTTTGAGAATACAAACTAGAAGAGTAAATTTATTGTTTCTAATAATTGTGCACATTATTTGTATTATGTATTCTATAATTGATTAAGTATATTTTTTCATTTTGTTGTTGTTCCTTTTTCACAGATCAAGATTTGAAAGAGTGTCTCATCTTGATTCCCGTTTAATAACGTCCAACTTTGAAATCTATATTATATCAAACGTAAGTTATAGAACATAACTATTAATTTATTATGCTTTAGCTAACAACTGTACGTTTAACACAACTAATCGCTTTATAAAGTTATCTTTATAAAAGCTTAATATATGTTTTGTATTAAAACGACACGCTGTGTGCACACTTAGGACTAGATCTATTTATACCCGCGTAGCAGGGTGTAGCAAACACACATTTTTATATCCCGCACAACATCTGTGTAGCTCAGCAGTCCTCAGATTTCATTTCTACAAATATTCCTTCTATGATATTGATAACGCACACTGTTTTTTAAACTACCTCTAAACTGCATTAAATCTTATTTCGTACGCGTACGTTTTTAAATTATTTCTCGTTTTGTTGTGCTATGGACGACATAGTTGCACTGCTTCAGTAATCAAAGGCGCCCCTAACAGAATATTCTACTTATCCCTTATGGTAAAAGCGATTCTAATAGAATATTCTAGTTATCCCTAATAAGGGTTGAAACAATGTCAGATTATACCCTTTATTCCTTAATATTCCCTGACCTCTTTCTTATGAATTTCACCACGCAAACCCTAACTTAAAAAAATTAAATGAAATCGACAAAGTAAGACAGAAAGATTGTAGGGATGCCAAACACACATGTCTATTTTAAGTTAGTCCTGAAATTCCATCCCAAATGTTTAGCAATCCTGAATTTTTTACAAGACCGAAACTAAAAGTCACTCCGACATTTTTTTTTAATTCATAGCTATTTCATTACATTCTAAACGTTTTAGACATAGTCAAAGATATGAGTGGTTTTTTTTTTTATCTTTGTTACAAGCTTTAAATTAAATCTAATATTTAAATGATTATGCATACTATAAATATAGTTTAACATTTCAGACCGATCTTGACCCCATTATGTAATATTACAGAATATTCTAATTACAGGTAATAATAGAACCGCTACTAATAGAGTATTCTAGTTAACTCTAATGTAAGTGACGCTTTAAACAGACTATTTTAGTTACCCCTAATGTAAAAGGCGCTTTTAGAAAGGATTTTTTTTTAGTTACCCCAAGCTTTAATTAAAACATACAAGAACAATCTGTTCCAGCTAAGATCATGAATAAAACGGTACTGTAGCGTAAAAATAGTAATAAGTTAACGGGATTCACATTGATTCCTATGGTATCTTAATTAACAATAAGGACAGAAAATAAAAAAATAAAAATTCACATGGAAATAACTTTCTAGTCAATGTGGCGTGGCGGATAAAAATAGTGCTAAACACTTGCCAATATACTACAATGAAATATTACTTTGGTTTTCCCCAGCATTTTAAAAATACAATTTAGTTTCGAGAAAAGCGCAAGATAATAGCGAATACACCTGAAAAATTTTCAGAAACATTCAAATTAAAAAATACGGACGCAATAATTATTATTATATATATATATATTATTATTATATTGAAATCGTTTTCACAAATGAGAAATAATTATTTAAAAATGGATTGAGACACCTATTGCAAAAATCTTATTCAAAAACAGTTTATTCAGAACAAGAAGTATTGCGCATTAACATTAGAAAATATATTTGTACTAATTAGCTTTATGTATTAAATTAATTAAATTATTGGTCTTTTTAATTAAAGATAAATATGCAATCATATAAAAACTTTTATTGGCGTTACTTGACTTAACCCAGAGATTTATTAAAATTAATTTTTAATTACACTAGTATTACATTATAAATACTAATTGTTAAATTTGAATTCTCATTGTAAAGAAAAAATTGTAAACCCTCGTAAACTATCTCTATCAAAATATATAAATGAATATATACACACACATATATATATATATATATATATATATATATATATATATATATATATATATATATATATATATATATATATATATAAGTGTGTTCTACCTCACTATTACGAAGATTAATTAATTAAACTCAAGGTTTTCATACAGCACGCTCTGCGGTGTGGTGGGCAGTAGTGTAAGCAAATCGATGCTCCGACAAATACAATCCAATAAATTTAGCGCAGGCATTGTTTACATTTAAATAACCCAGTTTTAGAAAAGAATGCCGCACATCTAAGAACATAGGATTGGTAACGCATTGATAACTTTGAAGGTTGGGATGACTCTTTTAGCGGAATTGGACTATAAAAAATAGTAGGTATGTTTGTGACCAAACTGTTTTTTTTTTCATAAAAACTTTCAAAAAAATTCGTTGGCCTATTAGAATGTGATTTTTAATTATTAAAGTGTCAAATTTTTAACTTCAGGCTTTTCAGCTTTAAGAACTGGCCTCCAATTCTTGTAGCATGGCTATTCTTGCGGTCATGCTATCACACACTTTTCTTTTAGCTTGTTTTTGTTAGTGTAATGTTTATTTACTTTGGCTACGAAGGGGCGGAACTAAGTAACTTTGTTAGATAAAGAAGAAAAAGAGCGAAGATTCGAGTAGGAACAGGGTTCTATTGGTCAGTTACTATTATAATGAGGAATCGGATTGGGGTAAGGAAGCATCAGAATATGAATAAACAGTTGATAGAAAATGTATACGAGAAGACTTTATAACATGAGAAAGATAGCAGCTGTATTTTAGTTGTCTGAATTGTTCCTATGAAAAATGCCAAGCGGTGTTTTATTGTTATTTTTTTCCTTTTCTAATTTATACGGAGTAATTTTGAATTTTAAAATTATATCATATATCGTTTAATTTTACAATAGGTTACACTCCCATTTAACCACCAAATATTGCACAAGTTATTTTTTTTGAAGCAATGTCGATTTTAGATATTAAAAAACCTTCCACGATATGAAACTTGCTACTCTAACTTTAACCCTACGCCAAAATAAAAGAGACTACATATGTATATCAAACTACACACATTTTTAAACTGTTTGCTTGACGGCGTGCTGTTGTGTTAGTGTGTAGTGTTACAGAACAGGGAACAAAGAAACTTCAACCTCCAGGTAAAATGTTGTTGCACCCGTCTGTATTAGACATGTTAATGACCTTGATAAGGCAGACAAGCGACGTTTGAAGGTCGTATCCTCGTTTCTAAACTTAAAGTTATATTTATAAATTATAACGTCTAGAAAAAGCAATCTGGCAACATTAATTAAAATATCTCTATCAGAATTTTAAAAAACCGATAATATCGTTTACTATATCGTATTTCAAACTGAAAAAAAAAACAATTCATTAAAAATTTGTGTCAATAAAATAATCAGTTCTGCTATAATAAGCAATTTTAAATTATTACTATTCCTCTATTACTGACGTAAGATTTGCTATGGATTTAATCGATTGGAGGGGTGGGGGTGGAATGGGAGGACATTTTATAATGCAATGTAGTAACGTCATTGATTGGTCGACAGCAGTCAGCAGTGTTTGCAATTCATATTCTAAATATAGGCCATTCCCCACAAGGAGGCGCTGTATAAATGTGCAGCAACCGCAAGCGGATCTTCAATCCTGCGGGTAATTTTCAATCCATGTTCAACAACTCATGACGCTTTTGTAAAGTATAACAAAACGTTTTCCACAATGATTAATTAGGTAAGTTTTATTAAAACGTTATTCTTTAACAACTAGGCATGCTGCACAGCTTCGCTTAGGCTTTCAAAAACATTGAGAATTTCAATGCTTAATTAATTCGCCCGAGGGTCGGTCTACGACCTCAGGAGTTATGAAGAGGTTCCTACGTGGACAATTTTTTTTCGATTTATAGTCGAGGTCTGTTTTGACCCCCTCATCGTAGACCTTTAGGCCAACCGGCCCCCGTGTTCTGTCGCCCCAAGGCAAAATCCTACCAAATTTGAAGCGCCTGCGGCGCCCGGAAGTGCCCGATGTCGGGCACCCGACAACTTTGCTTCATATATTATAGAGATTAGCAAATTGCATAGATAAACAAAGATTTCCAAAGCAGTTCCTTTCTTTATAGTCTAAAATAGGAAGATTCACATATAATATATAAAAAAAAATTAGGTTTGACTTGGTGTGTCTTGATCCAGCACCACCTGTCTGGTATCAAGTACACTATCATCTCAGCTAATTAGGTACCTTTTAAAATATGAAGAATAAAAGAAGTGTTTAAAAAAATAACTTACACGAATATGCCTATTTTTTCAAATTATTTTTTTTACCCAAAATTAGCCAGTTTCATTGCTAAACAAACAGATTTCTATAAAATATTTAAGTCCTGAAAAAGTTTATTATAGAAATTTATTTTTGGAATAGATTCTACAGTAGATAGAGTGTAAATCTAGATCTAGAATAGATCTTAGCGACGTAGTGTAGATTTAGATCTATTCTAGATCTAGAATCTCTAGATCTAGAAAAATAATAGATAACATAATTTTTTAAAGTTCAGGCCGAGAATATCGTATTGTGTAGTCTACATTTCATAGCGTACATAGCTCTAAATCATATTTGAATGAAATAGTTCATTTTTAAAAATTCTAAACTCATAAGATGACGTCATCAGTTTTGTGCTCTTTTTTTATTTAGTGTAAACAATAAGCGACGTCATTGTTAAATGAGTTCTTGTCCCAAGTTTATACACTTTTCCGGTTGCATAAATACTACTGTTTCTCTACATTCGAATACGCCTTTATTTTTATTTTTCTTCTTTAAATAAAATTGTGGTTATACATTTAAAACATCTAACATATTATTTTCAACAAAAGTCCGTATAAATGTATCCATATATCGCTGCTGATTCTGACGTGATGTCCGGCGAAAATATTTTGCGGACAGAGAGAGAGAAGAGCGCAGAAGGCCTTTTATATATTAGGAAGTTTGTGTTTTTAGCTTTAAACATAGAATACATAGTGATTTTCTAAACATTTACGTACAATGACACTCTGATCAATCTTTATTATATACAAATAAAATCGCACTTAATATACATTGAAAACGCAACAGCATATAGATCAAACACAAAATCATTATTGACGTTTAAGCGATACAAATATTTCTAGATACATACAAGATAACTGTCGTGGAACCCATCTTTAAATAAATAATGTATATATTTACTGTTTTCATTTTTCGAGTAAAGCTTATCTTCAACCATTTTCGTAAACGAGAAAAAAAGTGTCTTAGTTTCTGCGAATAAAATAGAAAATTGCACATGCTAGTAGCCAGAAAATCTAAAGTTTAAAAAACACATCTACAATAACAAAGTGGGTCAACAAAATGGCGTTGAAATAACTTGAGCCCTTTGTGTTTCAATGTACGTTTGGATGTCTACCAACCTCGGGGAGAGGAGTGTGGGCGGACACTGATAAAATATTTTTTCTATTTTATCGGGCGGGAGGGGGGGGGGAGGAGGAAAGGGTGGAGATAAGAGGAGGGCGTAGCGAAAGTACTTCTGAGGGGAGGGGGGCACACTTCAGTCCTCCCCGAAGTAATTCCTGAAAGAAACTGCACGCAGGGATATTAGAATCACAATGTCTTTTACATTATTATGGCTGTTTATTGCTATCAGCCTTGTAGACCCTTTCTTCGTTTGGTTGTGAGGTATATATAAAACTCCCCGATTGTTCAATTGCTCAAACGAACGTCCGTTTTGATTTCTACGGATCGTGATCGGGAACCACCGAACGTATTTCCCTAGGCATCCACACCGCAAGAGACCACCCAATCCCCTTTTCAATGTTTATGTTTCGAAGAACACTGTATCTAGAAAACGAATGAGCCATGGGAACGGAATGCGCGTTTGAAAATTTAAGGAGCGGTTTTGTACAGTAAAAAAGTTTTAGAAATGTTTTAGCTGGTATTTCGTTTCGCCCCGCAGGTGCAACAGACCAACGTTGTGTATGTACATACATACATACATACATACATACATACATACATACATACATACATACATACATACATACATACATACATACATACATACATACATACATACATACATACATACATACATACATACATACATACATACATACATACATACATACATACATACATACATACATACATACATACATACATACATACATACATACATACATACATACATACATACATACATACATACATACATACATACATACATACATACATACATACATACATACATACATACATACATACATACATACATACATACATACATACATACATACATACATACATACATACATACATACATACATACATACATACATACATACATACATACATACATACATACATACATACATACATACCTACATACCTACCTACCTACCTACCTACCTACCTACCTACCTACCTACCTACCTACCTACCTACCTACCTACCTACCTACCTACCTACCTACCTACCTACCTACCTACCTACCTACCTACCTACCTACCTACCTACCTACCTACCTACCTACCTACCTACCTACCTACCTACCTACCTACCTACCTACCTACCTACCTACCTACCTACCTACCTACCTACCTACCTACCTACCTACCTACCTACCTACCTACCTACCTACCTACCTACCTACCTACCTACCTACCTACCTACCTACCTACCTACCTACCTACCTACCTACCTACCTACCTACCTACCTACCTACCTACCTACCTACCTACCTACCTACCTACCTACCTACCTACCTACCTACCTACCTACCTACCTACCTACCTACCTACCTACCTACCTACCTACCTACCTACCTACCTACCTACCTACCTACCTACCTACCTACCTACCTACCTACCTACCTACCTACCTACCTACCTACCTACCTACCTACCTACCTACCTACCTACCTACCTACCTACCTACCTACCTACCTACCTACCTACCTACCTACCTACCTACCTACCTACCTACCTACCTACCTACCTACCTACCTACCTACCTACCTACCTACCTACCTACCTACCTACCTACCTACCTACCTACCTACCTACCTACCTACCTACCTACCTACCTACCTACCTACCTACCTACCTACCTACCTACCTACCTACCTACCTACCTACCTACCTACCTACCTACCTACCTACCTACCTACCTACCTACCTACCTACATACATACATACATACATACATACATACATACATACATACATACATACATACATACATACATACATACATACATACATACATACATACATACATACATACATACATACATACATACATACATACATACATACATACATACATACATACATACATACATACATACATACATACATACATACATACATACATACATACATACATACATACATACATACATACATACATACATACATACATACATACATACATACATACATACATACATACATACATACATACATACATACATACATACATACATACCTACCTACCTACCTACCTACCTACCTACCTACCTACCTACCTACCTACCTACCTACCTACCTACCTACCTACCTACCTACCTACCTACCTACCTACCTACCTACCTACCTACCTACCTACCTACCTACCTACCTACCTACCTACCTACCTACCTACCTACCTACCTACCTACCTACCTACCTACCTACCTACCTACCTACCTACCTACCTACCTACCTACCTACCGACCTACCTACCTACCTACCTACCGTTCTACCTACCTACCTACCTACCTACCTACCTACCTACCTACCTACCTACCTACCTACCTACCTACCTACCTACCTACCTACCTACCTACCTACCTACCTACCTACATACATACATACATACATACATACATACATACATACATACATACATACATACATACATACATACATACATACATACATACATACATACATACATACATACATACATACATACATACATACATACATACATACATACATACATACATACATACATACATACATACATACCTACCTACCTACCTACCTACCTACCTACCTACCTACCTACCTACCTACCTACCTACCTACCTACCTACCTACCTACCTACCTACCTACCTACCTACCTACCTACCTACCTACCTACCTACCTACCTACCTACCTACCTACCTACCTACCTACCTACCTACCTACCTACCTACCTACCTACCTACCTACCTACCTACCTACCTACCTACCTACCTACCTACCTACCTACCTACCTACCTACCTACCTACCTACCTACCTACCTACCTACCTACCTACCTACCTACCTACCTACCTACCTACCTACCTACCTACCTACCTACCTACCTACCTACCTACCTACCTACCTACCTACCTACCTACCTACCTACCCTACCTACCTACCTACCTACCTACCTACCTACCTACCTACCTACCTACCTACCTACCTACCTACCTACCTACCTACCTACCTACCTACCTACCTACCTACCTACCTACCTACCTACCTACCTACCTACCTACCTACCTACCTACCTACCTACCTACCTACCTACCTACCTACCTACCTACATACCTACATACCTACCTACCTACCTACCTACCTACCTACCTACCTACCTACCTACCTACCTACCTACCTACCTACCTACCTACATACATACATACATACATACATACCTACCTACCTACCTACCTACCTACCTACCTACCTACCTACCTACCTACC